CCATTTCTTTACTAAAGAACCCTTAATGAAGCATCTGTTTTGAGAGTGTATCAGAGCCCTTTTTGGTGCTAGATACAACCATTTTTAAAAAGGTGCAATATGGAAGCATATGCAACATGAATCTGAAGAACTATTTCACCATGAGCAGAACCATTTAAACATGAAATGGTTCTATATAGACCTCATGGTTTTAAACAGAACCTTTCCCTTTACTAAAGAACCCTTGAAGAACCATCTTTTAAAGAGTGTAGAACTAGACTGATCAGTGAGCTAACAGGCTAAACAACACCATCATTAATATTGCATATATTTACATATATTAAAGTATTTACAACATGATTCACTATAAGACTGCAACATTAAAGATTAAAAAATGTGTTATTTTAAAGTCCTACATGCTTTAAATGTCTGTGTTTCAGTCAGATCTGCATTAAGTAGCATCAAACTCAAACACCTCCTTTCTTCCTGTACAGTGCAGCATGTAAATGATGGATTTCTGGCCCAAATTAATGGTTGGCACTCATGACCAAGCAGCAGCAAACAGAGATTCCGATTCAACCCCAGTGTGGGAAAAGTGATGTTAGCTTTGTGCTAAATAAGACTGTAAATCACATAGAGGCACTAATGAAAACTGTAAATGATCTCTTTTTATTCTCTGACCAAGGAAATGTATCTTCGCTAGTCCTCCTTGATCTGACATTTGATATGATAGACCACTCTATATTACTAGACAGACCTTGTAGGACTAACAGGAACAGCTCTTTCCTGGCTTAGGTATTACCTGACTGATCGTTTGGTTGATGCAAACAGTGAATCATCTGTTCTTGCAAAAGTAAAGTATGGTGTTCCACAAGGCTCTGTTTTAGGACCTCTATTATTCACATTATATTTGCTACCACTGGGAACCATTATTAGTAAATACAGCACGGCTACGCATTAAACGCTACTATTAAACACTACTACGCATTAAACACTACTATGACCATGCTTGGTGACCAGTGAAAAGATCAGCATAAACCAGCACAAGCCTGCCTGAAACCAGGTAGACCAGATATCGTCTTTGCTCAGACATCTTCTCTCCTTCAAAAAATGCTTTATACCATCACTCCACCACCATCAGCCAGCAGAGCTGACGCATGTCATGGGCCACGGTCTTCTTACATGATATTTTTCTAGAAGCTAGCATTAAAGAACAGAACCTGGGATTCTTTACATGAGGAGACGTTCCCCCAGTCCTCCAGCCAGCCCACCACAACCACCAATTCATGTTTTTTTTTGTTTTTTTTTGCTGGAAGGACTGGAATTTTGCAAGGTCAGCAATTGTCACGTCTCGTTTTTGTCAAAATATGACAAGTCATGTGTCCTCTTGTGGGTCTTTTGGTGGCAACATCTTACTGAACTGTCAACTGACTTAATCTGTTTTAGCTGATCTGCACAGCTTGTGTCAGTCTCCTTTCACCTCTTTAAGCAGCGGGTCATTGCTGGACGCACATGGGACATGGAACCAGTGCTGAGGTACTGTAAGTCACATCCTGCTAAATGCTGCAGTTTTTTTTTTTAGCTAGTATAGTTATTTCACTTTAAACAGAATCAGAAAATCAAGGAAGAGAATATATGATACACATATACTATGATATGTGATGGGAATAGACTTAACACAGATTAGAGACCAGACTCGAATACTACAACACTAGAAAAAACTGAAGCTGAATAGAGGTGTCAACAACGGGACAATGATCCTAAACACAACTTAAAATCCACCACGACCTACTTCAAGAAATGCAAGCTGAAGCTTTTGGAGCAGCCCTCACTGACTTTAACACCTTTGATAAATGAGTGAGCAGGCCTTAAACATGCTGTTAAGCGTGGTGCTCTGCAAAGAAGAGTGGGTGAAAATCCCTAAAACAGGAATAGAAAGACTCCTAGCTGGTTTCAAACTGTGCTATCTGTCGAAGGGGTTACTACTGACTTAGTAGGGTGTCCAGACTTTTACACATGCTACAATTTATATGTGTTTTCTATGTTTCAATTTAATCAAATGGAACTGTGCATTAATAATTGCAGAAAACATCAAATGGTTGTGGGGTTGTATTTACTTATTTTCACATCAAAAATCAACAAATTATAGATCATACAATATAATAGATTATAGGTCAACAAATCATAAAGGGATTAAGAGAAAAAAAACTATCATATGGAGATTAAAGGAAAGCATACAGAGATTAAGGGTAAGACTTAAAACACAGAGATTAAGGGAAACTGCTAGCATACAGAAATGAAGGGAAATGGCTAGTCTACAGATTAGTTATCATGTAAACTGCTATAGCTAACTTAAGAGAACTTTAGGGAAAGGAACAAGAGAAACAGGCAAATATCAGGGCTGGAACTTGATGGCACTTTCATACTGATCTGAGGTCAGTTCTGTGCTGCATTGTGGGTAGCATTCGGCTACCTGGAGCTGGTTCTAGGTCTGTGTAAAAGGGCAGTTCCTACCCAGGGTGTTAACAAGCAGGGCAACCTTTATGAATTTTTCAGCTTTGAGGGGGCAGCGTGGGGCGCTGGGATCTCTCGGGTAATTAATTGATTTCCTTTGTTTTCTTGGTAAATGTCACTCTGCAGGCCACTAATGAGAGGAATGAAAGAATATTGAAAGCATATTGAAATGTCAAAATTAGCAGAGTTTTCTTTCACATGCTGTGATTTCACATCCTATCAGTTCGCCAAATAAAATAGACATTTAATCTTTGGCTTAACAGTGCTGTCCACTTCTACAGATGAACTGAATTATGTTTTACTATAATTAAGGAAATAAAGGTTTTTCTTTTCAATGAGCACATACACTTAATGGCCAAAATTATGTGGACACATGACCATTGCACATATATGAGCTTGTTGGACGCCCCGTTACAAAACCATGCACATTAATATGGAGTTGCCCCCCTTTTCAGCTCTTCTGGGAAGCTTTCCACAGGATTTTGGAGAGTGTCTGTGGGAGTTTGTGCCCATTCAGTCAGAAGAGCGTTTGTGAGGTCAGACAATGATGTTGGTCAAGAGGGTCTGGCTCACAATCAACGTTCCAATTCATCCCAAAGGTGTTCAGTGGGGTTGAGGTCAGGGCTCTGTGCAAGTCACTGGAGTTTCTCCACACCAAACTGTCAAACCATGTCTTTATGGAGCTGCTTTGTGCACAGGGGCTCAGTCATGCTGGAACAGGAAAGGCTCTTCCCCAAACTGCTGACACAAAGCTGGAAGCAGATAATTGTGTAAAATGTCTTTGCGCTGCAGCATCATCCTTCACTGGGACTGAGGGGTCCCAACCCTGAAAAACAGCCCAGCCCATCATCCCTCCTCCACCAAACTCTGCTGTTTATCCCTCCTCCACCAAACTGTACTGTTTATCCCTCCTCCACCAAACTTTACTGTTTATCCCTCCTCCACCACACTCTACTGTTTATCCCTCCTCCACCAAACTTTACTGTTTATCCCTCCTCCACCAAACTCTACTGTTTATCCCTCCTCCAACAAACTGTACTGTTTATCCCTCCTCCACCAAACTTTACTGTTTATCCCTCCTCCACCGAACTTTACTGTGTATCCCTCCTCCACCAAACTTTAATGTTTATCCCTCCTCCACCAAACTCTACTGTTTATCCCTCCTCCACCGAACTTTACTGTGTATCCCTCCTCCACCAAACTTTAATGTTTATCCCTCCTCCACCACACCCTACTGTTTATCCGTCCTCCACCAAACTTTAATGTTTATCCCTCCTCCACCAAACTCTACTGTTTATCCGTCCTCCACCAAACTCTACTGTTTATCCCTCCTCCACCAAACTTTACTGTTTATCCCTCCTCCACCAAACTCTACTGTTTATCCCTCCTCCACCAAACTTTACTGTTTATCCCTCCTCCACCAAACTTTACTGTTTATCCCTCCTCCACCAAACTCTACTGTTTATCCCTCCTCCACCAAACTGTACTGTTTATCCCTCCTCCACCAAACTTTACTGTTTATCCCTCCTCCACCAAACTCTACTGTTTATCCCTCCTCCACCAAACTGTACTGTTTATCCCTCCTCCACCAAACTTTACTGTTTATCCCTCCTCCACCACACTCTACTGTTTATTACTCCTCCACCAAACTTTAATGTTTATCCCTCCTCTGCCAAACTTTACTGTTTATCCTTCCTCCACCACACTCTACTGTTTATCCCTCCTCCACCAAACTTTACTGTTGGCATTATTGATTCATCTCTCCAGAGAACACGTTTCCACTACTGTACAGTCCAGTGCTTCACACCACTCCAGACAACACTTGGCATTGCACATAGTGATCTTATGCTTGTGTGCAGCTGCTCAGTCATGGAAACCCACTTCATGAAGCTCCCGACACACAGTTCTTGTGCTGATGTTGCTTTCAGAGGCAGTTTGGAACTCTGTAGTGAGTGATGTAACAGAAGATAAGAGATTATTACATGCTATGCATTTTAGCACTTGGTGATCCGAGCTGTTGTTTCTTCCATATCACAATAATAGCACTTACAGTTGTCTGGGGCAGATCCAGGAGGACTGAAATTTCCTAAACTGAATTGTGGCAAAGGTTATGTTTTATGCCAGTGCCATGTTTAGTGACTGAGCTCTTCAACATGAACCATTCTTCTGCCAGTGTTTGTCTATGGAGATTGCATGGTTATACATCTATTAACAGTGGGTGTGGCTGAAACACCTGGAAATAAGTAAGTGTGTCCACATACCTTTGGCCATATAGTGTATGATCCCCATCATAATGTTCAGTTTCTCATAATAGGCTTTAAAAAGAAAGCTGGACAGCAAAAGGATACCACAACAGACCGGGCTAGTTAGCTAGCTAACTTTAGTGGTGTGTGAATTACGCAAATATGTCATGTTTCTAAGCAGACTTCATAAATACGACTTTTTAAGGGGCACATAGGAGCATTTGACGAGATTGAAAAGGCAGCAAAGATGAGTTCGGCACTCACTGTAGGAGCAGCCGTAGACTTCCACTCTCAGTCCGATCCAGCCCTCAGCACTCCAGTCCAGGGGCAGGAAACGCAGGTAGCGCGTTCTGATGGAGTGGGACAGTTTATGGTGGACGACTCCATCTGCGTTTGTGTTCCCTGGGAAGGTCTGTAGATCAAATAGAACAACAGATATAATCATTTTTGGTATGTAAACATGCTAGCGCTCTAGCTAACTAGGGGTTGGGCCCCCCGATAATGTGTTCGAAATTTTATTATTATTTTACATTTTTCATATTCAGTCACAAGCAAACATTGATATTTGACATTGTTCATCAAACATTTATATTACAAATGTCTGAAGTTGTCACTCGTTTATTCTGGAACTTTATTTTCAAAACCTGAATTCTAGCCAGCTAGAAACTCCAGCATAGACCAGCAAATGTTGTGTTGTGGACTGGTTTAACCAGAATAAGCTAGAAAAGCTATTGGAACAATATTTTGTGGATGGATGAAATCAAAACACATCTTTTTGGTTTAAATGAGAATGCATTATGTTTGGAGAAAGGAAAACACTGCATTCCAGCATAAACACCTTATCCCATCTGTGAAACATGGTGGTGGTAGTTTCATGGTTTGGGCCTGTTTCACTGCATCTGGGCCAGGGCGGCTTTCCATCATTGATGGAACAATGAACTTTGAATTATACCAGCAAATTCTAAAGGAAAATCAACAGCTATCGGAAAACGTTTAGTTGCAGTTATGGCTGCATAAGGTGGTCACACCAAATACTGAAAGCTATGGTTCACAGATCTGTAATATTGGACCATTTTCCTCAATTAATAAATGACCAGGTCTGATATTTTTGTCTCATTTGTTTAATTTGGTTCTCTTTGTCTACTTTTCGGACTTCTATGAAAATCTGATGAAGTTTAAGGTCAGATTTGTGCAGAAATATAGAAAAATCTAAAGAGTTTACAAACTTTCAAGCGCCGCTGTAAACCAGCACCAGACCAGCTCTAGACCAGCATGGAATTCATACTGGACTGTGCTATTTTTTTTCTAGTTTACAATAACAATTAATGGTAATAGTAACATTATGCTGTTACATTACTTAATATAATCTATCATGACAGCTAATGACAGCATGTGAATTATGACAGCAGCCTGTTACTTGTAATAAACATGCCACCTTATTATGGCTCTTTCTTTTTCAACATCTGTCATTGCTGGGAGGCGAATAAGATGGAGTGATACTTAAAGAGGAATTCCACAACTTTTTCTAAATTTCTTTATAATTCAGTGTGAGATGTAAACAAGGTGATTCAGAGTGGTTTGGAGTGAAATGGTTCAGATGTCTTTACAGTGGTGGTGATAGGAACCAGGAGTCACCATGACTACAACACAAATATAGACATTTTATTTATTATCCAGAACCACCAGTGAACCTACACGAGTCTTCTGAGTTTATATGGAATGTTGATGATGGAAAATAGTGGAAAATCTGAAATTATACATTTTCTTTGGGGACTATTTTGCCTCACAACGCCCTGCATATTATGTATCCCTCCACCATGAATGGAGTTCAAGGCCGAAATCTTCTCATAACTATCCTAAAACAGTGTCTCAGTCATCAGGCAGTGAATTCATAACCATTTCATATAATATCTTTCTGTGAGGGAGCTTTTAGAAGTGGACGTCTGGTTCCTATCACCACCACTGTGAACGATGGTGGATTTCAGATATTAGCACTCATAAAATGTCTCTCAGCCAGTCTACGTGTGCAAAGTCAGAGCTAAATGTGGCGCAGTGATTGATGTCACGGCTTCACGCTGTTATATTGCTGAACAAAATCTATCTTGACAGCCAATGTCAGCATATGACATCTAGCATGACCTGTTTATGGCATGCTTATGTCAATGTTACACAACAGGGCTCAAGTAAATTGTTAGCGAACATTTTTTTTAGATGCAAATGTCTCATTGTAAACAGAATTTTGAAAATAGCTTTAGTATGACAGACAATTTTAGACATTTTGACACAGCTGATGGGTACACAACTTGGTTTAAAACTGTATCCACATTTAGATCAATGCTTGCTTCTAAACCTCAGCCTAAAACAACAGTTTCTTCCTGTGAAAGCAGAGAATTCTTGCTTTCACTGAGCCAGAAAACTGAGCTGTTTTTGCTATGTGAAGGAAAAACCCCTGTTTCCAATGGAAATCACTTCATTAGCTCTCTTCATAATCTAGTCACTACCCTGTCCAGTCCTAGGGGACACTAGGCAGTCCACATTCTGCCTCAATCCCAGCCTCCACCACTAATAAACCAGATATTCATTGTTCTCGCTTGGTTCAGGTGTGTTGGGAGCAGAAACGTGGACTTCTAGGTGTCCCTGAGGGGTGGACTGGGACTCGTGAGTCTATTAGCCTGACTGACAGAAACAGTCTATCTTTAGTGTTCTCAACAGCTTATCTAAATATAGAGCTTATCTAGGTGCTGCTGTACACAGACTCCAGCCCCCGTGCTAACATTTACCCACTTTAAAATTCAACCGGGGAAGCTAAGAGGAAGCTTCGAGCGCCATTGGTTTCTTTAATCTTTGCCCAAAGCCAGTGACGCTAACAAGGTAAGCTAGCGAAGGAGTCCACCATCAACATAGCTGGAGGACAGCCTGCAAGCGCCGCAGCATTCGGCAGGGTTGGAAAGACTGGAGGGCCCTCTTTGCACCTCAGAAAACGATACGTCGCTTTTTAGTCCCAGTCCAATTAGAAGCTCAAAACCTTCAAAGACATTTCCATAAAGCGCATGCTGCCGGAGCAATTAGCACGTCTTTCCCTCCAGCAGACACGCAGATGAAAGTGTAGAACATCAGTGAGATAACAGTGATCTGCGACCCCATGAGGAGCTGGCAGGTGAAGCTCATCATCCACCAGTCTTTTGCTCTCCTTTTCTCTCACTGGAGATGCTATTAGATTATAGACACCTGAAAAAATGGTCCAACTGCATACCTCCATTTACTCCACCCAGGAACACCTAGTGGATGAAGACTGGAAGGTTTTTCACAAGAGGTCACCTTTTTCTTCACCAAATTGTGCAATCTGCCCAAAAGCAGCAGTTGTTTTGGCCACTTGCAGTTGGCCAAAGTTAAGAGAGTTAGCTGCTGTCTTGCTAACATTAGTGCAATAAGTTTGCTAGATAGGTTATTAAGAGTGGAGTGTAGTTGGAATCAGTGTTATTTAGTTCCTTAAGTGTAACTCACTCACTCACATTTAGCAGGTTGACGATTTTCCACAAGAGGGCGCTATTTTCTCGTCAAAGCCACAAGTGAAAATTATAAAGCTGCAAGCTGTGTTTATCTTCGTACTCAGCAGGAAAGCAGCAATTCTTTTAACCATAAACAGTTTCACTATCTTGCCGTTAGCTAGCATTAATCTAATGCTTCCCTGCTAAAAAGACTAACTAGCAAGAAAGAAGTGTAGTTGGAAACAACTTAATGTAGTCAGCAGGAAAACAGCAGTTCTTTTGACCATAAATCTTGCAGTTGGCAGCAAAGTTAAGACGGTTGTTTGTTGTATTTCTAATATTAATCTAACGTGTTTTCAAGCTAGATATACTAACTAGGTAGAAAGCGATGTAGTTGGAAACAACCTTGTTGCATTTTTTAATGTAACTCACTCACTCATGTTTAGCAGGTTAAAGAATTTCCACAGGAGTGCACTATTTTCCCATCAAATTGTACTGGATGTAAAAGAATTGATTAGTTTCATTTGTTTTGGCCATCTTTATGTTGGCCAAAGTTAAGATAGTTAGCTGTTGTCTTGCTAACATTAAGAATGCAGCTTAGCTGGAATTAGTGTCGTTAAATTCCTTAAGTGTAACTCACTCACTCACATTTAGCAGGTTGAAGGTTTTCCACCAGAGGGAGCTGTCAAATTTCCCATCAAATAGCTCTAGTTATAAAATGCATTCAAAGGTGAAAATCATAAAGCTGTGGGGTGATTTTTTTTTTCTGGGGGCTGTCAAAAAGATTTGATTGCAGTGAAAAATGAAAATGCTTAGTCTTATGGGTGGATAGTGATTTTGGTTTGAACACAGGAAGTAAGAGGAGAGAACAAGTGTCACAACATTGGTATATTAGCTTACGTCCATGTGACGGTGAAGTTTTACGAAGAAATGTCTTCTTAAGAACGTTTGGTGAATGAGGCCTAATATTAGTATTTGAAATATGCGAAAGTGAGGAGCTTTTATATAATAACATAAAGGCTCCAAACCAATTTAAGATTTCTCTTAGAACTGCACGTCCAAGCCAAGAACCATTTAAGCTTTATTTTTAAGACAGTACTGAAATTCTGAAATGACCATAGACACATTGGGCCTCATTCACCAACCATTCTTAAGAAGAAATTCCTTCTTTAAACCCACTTACGCAGTTTTCCCGAAGATTCCGACATTCACCAATGTTTTTTAATTTGGGATTTGTTCTTAACACACTCAAGAGCACAAAGGTGAGAACAGTTCTGCGCTTTAAGAACACATCATGAATCCGATCCCTTTCTTAGGACCTTTCAAAGAACACATTTAAGAACAGACTTAGGAAAATATTGGAGATTGAGGCTCAATGTTTTTCAAAGCAGTTCAGTCTGTGCTTGAAATATTTTGTGCATTGGAAATGCAAAGATATGCTAAATGTTGGTTCAGGTAGAACCGTAGATGACAACAGCCTTCTCTCTCTCTCTCTCTCTCTCTCTCTCTCTCTCTCTCTCTCTCTCTCTCTGCTGTGCGGCAGAGCGGAGAGATGATGGCACTGTGAAATGGCTCGTATTGATTGAGGAGAAGCGGGCGAGACCCGTTTGTTTGCCTCTGTACGTGGAGGCGATGCAACCTCTGGCTCCGGTGACACAGGGCCACTCCAGATCGATCCCAGAGTTGTCAAAATAAACCAGGAGAAAAGAAAAAAATTCCCTGCAAAGTAATTCAAGTTCAGCCAAGGAGGTGGGCGAGTGAATGAGTTTTCACCTCCTGGGAGAATGTGGAAGACACACACACACACACACACAGAAGCTGACCAGCTCCAGGGTCAAGGCTGACTGGACATACATTCAACCAGATAACCGAATATCAGCTCGCAAACTTGAAAACTCAACTGCTGGACATTTGTATACTGACCACATACAGCACAGATTCAATCAGGCTTACCAACAGTGGTCAGTTATACACTCTCACAAAATATGGTTCTTCAAGGGTTCTTTAGTAAAATAAATGGTTCTTTTTAGAACCATGAGTTTCGATATAGAACCAATATATGCTGAAATGATTCTTTGTATGGTGCAAATGGTTCTTCAGATTGATGGAGCATGTGTTATATATGGAATGGTTCCATATAGCACCAAATAGGGTTCCTCTATTGTTACTAGCTTGGCATTGTAACAAAAGCAGAACCCTTGGAGAACCATAATTTTAAAGAATGTACTATTACATTAGAGTTAGAGTTCAGATAAGCCCAGTCAGACAGGAACCGTAGCAATTTCAAGGCTGGGGTGAAAAAAGAAATTGAAATGAATTGATAAATTGGGACAAGATTATCAATAAACACCTAAATTATCTAAAACCATGAGTAGTTTACAGTAACATAACGTATCTAGAACCGTGTTTTGTGCCAGAGGTGGTAACAAAGCCAGACATCTCCCTAACCAATAAATTTACAGATCAAAAATATCTACAGTCCTGGGCAAAAGTTTGAACACCCCGAGTAAAATTCCATGTTGTGTTGATTTTCTAAGTGAACAGAGATCATATTTCAGCACATAGTAATGGCAAGATACTGTTTATTAGCTGAATTTAACATATTGGAAAAATAAAAAGTAATGGCACATATGCTTTATTGTTTTCCAATCTGTAAAACACAATGAATAGAAAATAAGTAAAAAATAAGCTCTAAAATTTGCAGACTTTACTTACTTTGAACTAAAAAATCAACACGTTATGTAATCCGAACAGGCGCATTCAAAATTTTGCATTTTCCTACTTATTTCAGAATCAAATTTGTATTTTCTGTTGCGTTGTTATAAATCAGGAGTCACCTGTGGCCAAAAAACAAAACAATAAAATAAGAAGTGATTAAAATCTCACATTTTGAAACCCAATTTGAAAACTTCCTGAGGTTTTCGCTCAGACAGGCTCAGAGAACAGAACTGTTAGCAGATACAAAGCGAACCTGGTCTGAAATCAGTCTCACTGTACTGAAAGTGGTGATGTGAGAGACTCACCCCAGTGCTGTCTTCCTGCCTGTACTGTTTCCAGGCTCTTCCTGTGTCGCTGTACAGCAGCGCGTAGCTGCACACCCAATCAGAGCTCCCGAAACGACCCTGCGTGGCCACGGCAGTGACCTCTACCCTCTCCCGCAGGTCAACCTGTAACCAGCGCAGACGATCCGTACGCTCCGGCGTCCAGCCTCCACCTCCTAATGCACACACAGACATACAGGGCTGGTTTATACAGTGTTACAACGTGTGGTCTTACATAGGCCTTATATATGAGTATGAATGTGCCATAATAATGTCCCATATGAATTAGAATTTCTAAGCCTAACACTAATTAAAACACCATGTGCTCACGCTGAATATATTCTTTTTAATTAACCCCTTAAAATTACAGGCTTATTAACTTATTAACAACAAGCAACTAAAGGCCTTGTGTTACTGCGATTGTATCACGGGGAAGGGTGTTGTTAGGCACGACGTGGAGTAAAACCCCATTCCCTGTGATTACATCACTGTAAGCATGGCGTCAAGTGGCTTATTGGTTTTATTAAACATTGGCCAACATAAAATGTGATAAAATAAACATTTTTTAGAAAATAATGAAAGTTATTATTAACAATATTTGACATATATAAATATTCAGCCAAGAAATGTAGTTCCTTTAAAGTATGGTGTTGATGCCAAGCAACCATGGACCTCTGCATGAAGAGAAGAATGTTCGGTTGCCAATCGCTGCACACTGCAGTCATTACATGAACTTTTTGGCGAATAACAGTGAAACATTTGATAACACAGCCCAGTTTAATTGCAAAAACCTTCGCTTTATAAGTACTTTTAGTCACCAAATTACCACCGAGAGTCTTATTTAGCACCAATCCAGCGGCCCCTCTTCTCACACTGGGGCAGAATCTCAAACGGCTCCCTGCTCCCTACATAGTGCACTACGTAGGAGTTTAAATACTGGATCCTGCAGCCCAACAGAGCAAAACACAGCTAAGAAACAGTCATTTGGGACTCAGACTCATCCACACTCGGTACATGATGCACTGTTTGACTGTAGAGGCTAGAATTTCTAAACTTTCATAGCTAGAACACTATTTAGGGAGTACAGAGCTGTTTGGGATTCAGTCTGGGTTTGACGTGACTTCTGACAGAAACACGGACATTTAAAGCGTGTAAAACATTCAAGTGACATTTTTAGACTTTCATACTGTCGTTTTACAGTGAATCATACTGTAAGTACTTTAATTCAAGCCTGTGATATGAATAACGGGGCTGTTTAGCATGTTTGTAATCTTTTAGCCTGTTAGCTAGCTGATCAGCCTGGTTCTAGTTAAGAACATAAGTTGTCAGCCCCTCAGTTTAAACAAAAAATGGGTTTTTACCTTATCATTATACTCGGTGCTCCATATGAGCAGCATGAGAGTCAAAGACTATTCATTAACAGCACAAGGGTTTTTCATGCTGTAGCGCAGTGATACAGAGTTCAGCGGTTGTGAGGCGTCATAGGTGCACTTATATTTTGGGTTTTACACCAGCTTCGAACACGGCTCAGCCAATAAGATATTAGGACTGGAACTATTCGTTTTATAATACATATTATTCAGTCACGACAGGGACTTCAATGCGAACTGGCTGCGCTATTCTTAGGTTATAGATGTGTGGGCCCGCCAGTGGGCCCTGGCTGATTTAAGGGTTGAAAAGTATTGAGGACCTGATATCACATTTCAGCTTGAACATCTCAAAAAAGACTTCATAAGAATTCCGTGACGCTCCTTCATTAGCAAAACATAAACTTTTAATTAAACTTGAAAAGAAAACCTTTCAGCATCCAACCCCGGCACTCTGAGGCACGTCTGCCAGCCTCGACTTTAAAGCACTGCCTGTTCCAGCTAAAGTTCATCCAGGAAAGCAAACAACTTCGGCACTATCTGCTCCACTTACTGCGCATCCGGTGGGAAAACAGACAGCGATGCCGATGCCACTATGAGCACAAAGACAATAACTCTAGCTAATCAGGAAACACCAGAGGCAGAGCCAGGACTGTGTCTGAGGTCACCAACAGCAAGGTATGGAATACAGGGGGTTCTGGTGGGTTGGGGACCCCCTAACTAACCTCTTGGACCCCCTGAATGCCTCAAAATCAGAATTCTGGGGGCTCCCTGAAAATAAACTTATGATGTTATGCTGTCTGTCAGTCGCTGAACTACAACTGCATTTTAGGGCCACTGTTAAAAAAATTAAAAATAGTAGACTTCAAGAATAAAGTCATAATATGTTGAGAATAAAGTTGTAGAATTAATATTACATTAAAGTGGCATTAATACCAGGAATAGCGACAATATTGTGGCCAAAGGCTTTTCAAAGTGAAGGCAGCCCCTCCTCGTGTTAAATGAGGGTCGGTCAGTTGGTGGAGTTCTACTTTCATATCGATTCACCCATAAAGAAACACTCAGTCTCCCTGTCTCTCCTGCACATCAGCACCAGCCTGTTATTAGGATAAGAACCGGCTGAAACGGCTGAGCAGGAAACTGTGTTTATCTAGAATAAAGAGCCAGACGGACTCAGAGGAAACTGTCTGTCTGTGTTGTTGAAGGAGAATCTCAGGCAGGGTCGTCTACATGGCTATCAGGGCTCCATCTCCCCCCATTCAAAGAGGGCATGAAGTTTCACAGACAGTGAGAATGATGATCAAAATGATCGATCCTGAAGGAGCGGAACTCCGGCGAGGGTCCTACGCGCTATGGCAGCCCCCCTACGATTAGCCCACTTTATCCTCAAAACATCACGACTTTATTCTTGTTACTTTATGACTTTATTCTCAAAATATTACGACTTTATTCTAAAAGTATGACTTTATCATCGAAATATGACTTTTTTCTCTAAATGTTATGATTTTATTCTAAAAAATACGACTTCATTCTCAAAACATTATGATATTATTTTTATTATATAATTTTTTAATGGTAACAAACTTTAGAGAACCATTAAAGATCCATTTTCTTTACTAAAGAACCCTTAAAGAACCATCTTTTTAAAGAGTGTAGTAGTTAAGGAGTTTCTATAGATCTGAGTTTTTAAGATGGTTCTTCGAGGGTTCTTTAGTGAAGACAAGGGTTCTATGTAGGACTATGATCACTCAAAGAACAATTTGCGTGCTTAAATGTTTCTTTGCGTGGTAAAATTGTTTGATTGATTGAGGAAATGTTGTAGATGGTTCTATATTGCACTTTTGTAACAAGGGTTCTATATAGCACCAAAAGTAGACAATATTGTAAACAATAGCAGAACCCTTTTTTTGGTGCTACATAGAGCCATATACAACATATTCCCCCTTCATCTGAAGAACCATTTCACCCTGCAAAGAGCCATTTAAGGATGCAAATGGTGTTCATGGTTCTGTATAGAACCAGTCATTTCTAAAGAACCCTTGAAGAACCACTTTTTTTCTGTATTTTTGTCTAGAATTATCTAGAACTTTGGTGGAAATGCATTTCAGGCTACAGCGATTCTTCATTGTGACTATAAACACTGTGCCGGGAAGCCTCGATTGACCAGTCCAGCAGAGATGATCTAAATTTGGCTATTGTTTTTAAAAATCAGAGCCAAATGAAGCCTAACCATGAGAAAACCACTGAACTCCCAGGATGCTCTGGTCTGAAACTTCAAAAATCAGACATCCAAGGCATCAGACATGTGAAGGACTCATTTTAATGATGTCACAACCTCAAGTTTGAGCAAATATGCCACTAAGAGCCTCAGCGTCCGTCAGGTTCAGTGAGCAGGTGAGGCTCAGGGAAAGGAAAATCTAAAGCACCTTCTGAAGGTGAATTATTGAGGAAGCTCCGGACCCCGAGGCGTGTCTGTGTGTGTCTGTGTGTCTGTGTGTGTCTGTGTGTGTGTGTCTGTGTGTGTGTGTGTGTGTGTGTGATGTGCTGACTCACCGTCCCGTCTGTTCAGCTTGGCGTAGTAGGGCGACTGGCTGTCTGAGGAGACGGAGGAGCTGCGGAAGGCTGTGGGCGGCAGACCCGAGACCAGGGCCCATTACACTGATCTGGACAACAAGAGGAAACATAACGTTAGCACAACAGACCACACTGACCACCTAAACAATGGGACGACCTGATCGTTCAGAACAATACAAACCAGCATGTTTTTATTACAATAACTTACAACACATTCGTCATCAATCTGAGGAAATATTGCACAATGTAAGAAACATTTAAGCAGAACCATTAACTTTAGTAAAGAACCGTTGAAGAACCATCTTTTGCAACGGTTCTTCAGATTGATGGAGAAGGTGTTGTATATGATTCTGTATATTCTGCTGTCGTAAGCTTGACAATGTGACAATAGAAGAACCCTTTTTGGTGCTATTTGGAGCCATTTTCAAAAAGGTTCCATATAGAACCATATACAACACGTTCTCCATCAATCCAAAGAGCCGATTCACCATGCAAAGAACCACTTAAGCATGAAATGGCTTTGTATAGATCTCTTGAAATATTCCCATTGCTCAAGAACCCTCGAAGAACAATCTTTTGCATGGTGAAATGGTTCCTCAGACTGATGGTGAATGTGTTGTATGTGGTTCTATATGGAACATTTTGGAAATCGGTTCTAAATAGAACCAAAAAAGGTTGTTCTATTGTCACGATGTCAAGCTTATGACAGTAGAATATACAGAATCATACACAACACATTCTCCATCATTCTGAAGGGTCCTGGAGGAACATGATCTATATGGTTACTTGGAGACGAAACTGAACCTACAGCACTTAATAATAATAACACACAACAGAGAGGCCATGAGGTAGTTATAATTATCTAGATTGTTATCTTGAGATAATGAGTTAATTATCTTATGATCTTAAAATAAAAATTGTTATCTTGAAAAGACTATTAAGTTATCTTGTTATCTCGAGATAAAAAGTTATCTTGAGACAGCGAGTTAATTATCTTGTGATCTCAAGATAACAAAGGTGTTATCTTGAAATAACTAATAGTTGTCATGTTATCTCGAGATAACAACTTTGTTATCTTGAGATCACAACTTAATTATTTTATGATCTCAAAGTTTATTATCTTGAGGTAGCGAGTTAATTGTTACCTTGGAAAAAAATAGTTATCTTGTGATCTCGAGATAACAAAAGTTGTAATCTTCAGAAGACAAGTTAATTATCTTGTGATCTCAAGATAACAAAGTTGTTATCTTGCGGTAATAAGTTCATTATCTTGTGATCTCAAGTCAACAAAGTTGTAATCTTGAGAGAATTAGTTAATGATGTTGTGATCTTGAGATAACAAAAGTTGTAATCAGATGACAAGTTAATTATCTTGTGATCTCAAGATAACAAAATTGCTATCTTGAGAGAATGAGTTCATTGTTTGTGATCTCGAGACAACAAAAGTTGTAATCTTCAGATGACAAGTTAATTATCTTGTGATCTCAAGATAACAAATTTGGACACACGATCACACTATATCTAAACCTTAATGATATCATGATTATAGACTAAAGCTTTATAACTACAGCTGCTGTTATAATCACCAGTCCAATCAGCTGCTTTGCGTATTTACGGTCTCCTCCTGCTGACACTAAAGAGGGCGGAGCTCTACAGCTTCACTGAATGTGTTTGGTTACTTCAGAAAATGATCAACCAGCTTCTAAGACTGAACTTTGGAGGTGTGTCTGCAGAGGAACTGAAAGAGAGTCTCCTGAGAAGAGTGGAGGCTGGACTGAAGGTGAAGGGTGGTCTGAACAGAGGGGCTGAACACTCTGTATTTGTTAGTTGTTGAGGCTTCTGTTCTGTTTTAATAACCTTTATTTCTTTTTTCTGAAGTTGGGTCTCAGCGTTAGTGAAGTTGGTAGAATAACTCGTATGTATAGGCTAAGTTTTTCTGGCCTGTCAGAAATTTATCAGGAGCCCAGAGACGTCTGAGTGACCGGCTCATTAACGCTGCTAATCGGGGATAAAAGTTCATGCTAATAGGTCACACTTACTCACACTCAGTCGGCTGTGTTGTGACAATTTATTACAGAAAAAAAAAGATCCATTTGATGGGAATTATTACAGAGAGATACAGAGAAATAGCCTTTCAGATATTATAGCCAGAGAGAGAGGGGGGGGGGGCGGAGGGGTGAGAGAGAGAGGGAGAGAAAGAGAGAGGGGGGAGAGGGAGAGAGAGAAAGAGAGAGAAGGAGAGAGAGAATTGACAGTGTGTCTTGTTTCTCCTCTTTTTAGAGCTACAGACTGATTTTTCAGCTAATTAACCTTTCAAAAGATTTCTAAACGAGAATGACATTAAATGACACTGCTGTCACCTCACAGAGAGAGAGAGCGAGCGAGAGAGAGAGAGAGAGAGAGACAGAGAGAGAGAGAGAAGGAGAGAAAATACAAAAACGAGAGAGGCAATATAGAAACAGTGAAAGAGAGTGAAAAAGACAGAGATGGGGACAGAGAGGAAGAGAGAGAAAAGACAGAGAGAGATAGACATAGAGGTAGAGGGACAAAGAGAGAGAAAGAGATAAAACTAGAGAAAGCAAAAGAGAGAGAGAAAGAAGAAGAGAGATAGATAGAGAGAGAGGGGGGAGAGGTAGATAAAGAATAGAAAAAGACAGAGAGATAGATAGAGAGAGAGGAACAGAGAGAGAGAGGAAGAGAGTGAGGTAACTAGAAAGAGAGATGGAGAAAGAGAAATCTAGAGAAAGCAGTAGAAAGAGAGAGGAAAAGAGATACATGGAGAGAGGCAGAGAGAGAGAGGGGAAGAGAAAGCTAGACAAAGCAGTAGAGAGAGAGAAAGAGGAGGAAAGATAGATGGAGACAGAGAGGTAGAGAGAATAGAAAAAGGGAAAGAGAGATAGACATAGAGAGAGAGGAACACAGAGAAAGAAAGAGAAATCCAGTGACCCCCTGTCACTCCACTATAAAGCACTGGCTAGTCAGGAGCTGAGCATCGACAGGAGTCCCCTGAGCCAGCTGGTCCTGAGTCTCAGTGACCTACAACCAAATGATAACACTAACACCAATCAGCCTGACCACACGCTCGCCCAGAAAATCAGACCCAATCAGATTATCACCAAACAAAAACAAAACTACATCACCCACTGGACTGAGACCACACATCAACAGCACAAGCTTCAGTGCTATTCGGCCCTAAATCGAGATTATACATCAGCACCGCACCTCACAGCAACTACAGACAGAAAACTGAGGACAGTGCTGACCATGTACAGACTCAGTGAGCACAGCCTGGCCATCGAAACTGGCCGGCGCAGACAGACCTGGTTACCCAGAGAAGCCAGACTGTGCTCCCACTGTGAGTCTCAGTGGTGGAGACGGAGCTGCACTTCCTCACAGAGCTGCTCGAGATACGACTCCATTAGAAAGGAGTTCTATGGGAAGGTGAGCAGCGTCTGTCCTGAGTTTCAGCTCTGCAGTGACTCTGAGAAACTGCCGTACGTGTTGGGAGAGAAGAGCGAGCTGATCACACACGCAGCCAGATACGTGACCGCCTGTCACAACCTGAGGGACGACCAGTGAGAAACTGATAGTTTTTTATTGATTATTATATATTTATGAAATTTGTCTTGACTCTTTTATTTTCCCTTTCTTTCTTTTTCTTTGATTACTAATAACCCTGTAAATAACATATTTTCTAATGTTCTATTATGATCTATTACATCATCTTTTTCTTATTTTTTATGTGTTTCTTATTAACTGCTTTGGCAACAGTGTATTTCATTACATTCATGCCAATAAAGCACTATTGAACTTGAACTTGAACTTGAAAGAGAAAGCTAGAGAAAGCAGTAGAGAGAGAAAGAGGAAGAGAGACAAGTGGAGAGAGAGGTAGACACAGAGAGAGAATAAAAGAGAGAGAGAGAGAGAGAGAGAGACAGGTAATGAAGGAGAAAGAAGGAGAGGAAATAGAAAAAGAGAGAAATATAGAAATAGAGAAAGAAAGAAATAAAGACGGAGAGATGAGGAGAAAGAGGCAGAGAGCGAAAAGAAAAAGAGAGCGATACACATAGAGAGAGAGGAAAAGAGAGGGAGAAAGAGAGGGGAAGAGAGAGAGAGGAGGAGAGCAAGGTAACTAGAAAGAGAGAGAGACAGAGAAAGAGGACGAGAGAAAGATGAAGAGAAAGAGAGGTAGACCCAGAGAGAGAAGAGAGACTTACAGAGAGAAAAAAGAGAAAGAAAAGAAGGAGAAAAAGATAGGAAGGAAGATAGAGTGCATGTGTGCATGAAGGAGAACAAACAAATGGAAAAGAGAATACGAACGAGTGTGAGAGGGAGAGATAGAAGGATAGGGAGAGGTAAAGAGAGAGAGAGGCAGACAGAGAGAGAGGGAGAATAGAGAGGAAGAGAGGATAGAGAGAGAATGAGTTAGAGAGAGGGGGAGAGAGAGGAGAGAGAGAGAGAATAGAAAAGGAGACAGAGAAAGAGAGTTACATAGAGAGAGACAGAGAGAGAGAGAGAGAGAGAGAGAGAGAGAGAGAGAGAGAGATGGTGATTAAAGCATTGGGTGAGGTCGTTAGAAGGTGAAGGCCCAGGAGCTTATACTGCCTCTGACACACACACACACACACACACACACACACACACACACAAACTCACACACACACACACACACACACACACACACACACACACACACACACAAACTCACACACACACACAACACACACACACACACACACACACACACACACACAAACTCACACACACACACAAACTCACACTCACACACACACACACACCAACTCACACACACACACACACACACACACTCACACACACACACACACACTGCTGTAGACAGTTTCCTCTCAGCACAAACTGTCACGACTTTAAAACGCTCCATGTTCATCTCTCTTTAGTCTATTAATGCTTCATAATTCAAACTCTTACTGCAAAGCCGTGAATATGATTATAAGCAACATCTCTGCATATCAATAAACCCAGTTTTAAAATGCTGCTCAAAGTCATTACATGTTGGCTGTTGAAGCAGATCTCTCGACCTTATTCCTGCGACCCATGATGCTCTAGGAGGCTCATGGACAGAACTTCTCCCCAAGGGGGGACAAACTACGGGGCAGATTTACTAGGAGAGGCTCTAAATACAGACTGATCTACTGAGACCGTCCACACAAACGGACACAGACGCAGCTTCGTA